CAAGGAGCCGCTGGCCATCATGCGCGTGGAGAACAGCAAAGCTGAGAAACCCAAGCCCGTGCGCCGCAAGACAGCCACGGACACTCTGATTGCGCCGCTGCTGGACGCGGGCGCGCGCGCCGCGCACCACTACAAGGGCGGCGGGGGCGACGCGGCGCCCGCGACCGACAAGAAGCACGCCCGCCACTTCTCCCTGGACGTGCACCCCTACATCCTGGGCACCAAGAAGGCCAAGGCCGAGGCTGTGCCCGCCGCGCTGCCGGCCTCCCGGAGTCAGGAAGGCGGCTTCCTGTCCCAGGCGGACGAGTGCGGACTGGGCCTGACAGCGGCGCCCGCGGAAGGTAGGGGCCGGCAGGGCGGGAGCAGGGGGCCGTGAGCGGGAAAAGGATTGCGCCATCCGGGTGGACGCCGGGGCAGGCAGGGGAGCCAGCTGCGGGCGTGACCCCAGGCGGCTCCCTCGCCCCAGGGCTCCGGGAAGCAGCCGGGAGGAAGGGCTGGAGAGGGGAACAGACGGTGAGGTTGCTCAGCTCCTGGAGAAGGTTCTGGAAACTGGCGCCCCTGCTCCTGGGGCAGCCAGGGTCCATCCAGACAGGCCACCGTGCTGCGGAGCGTCAGCGCTCCAGCCCGCTGGGAAGGAGGGGCGGGCAGGGCGTGCGGGCGGAGGAGGGGCTGCAGACACCCTGTGCTCTGGGCTGTTTGCAGGCGCGCCGCTCCCGGAGGAGGAGGTCCTCTACTCTGCAGAGCCGGCCCGGGGCGTGCTGCCCCCTGGGGGCCCGTTTCGCGTCTGCTCGCCCCCCGCCGCCCCTGCCACCGCCCCTCTGTCGCCAGCCAGCCTGGGCAAGCCTGACCCCCTTGCCATCCTGAGCCGCAATGCCACCCACCCGCTGCTGCACATCAGCACCCTTTACGAGGCCCGGGAAGAAGAGGACGGGGCCCCCCGCGCCCCCCAGGACGTGGGCAGCCTCATCACCATCCCTCCCCCGCAGCAGATCCTCATCGCCACCTTCGACGAGCCGAGGACAGTAGTGAGTACCGTGGAGTTCTGAGGGCCGGGGTTGCGCGCGGCTGCATGACCGCGAGGCCGCTGCTCCCAGCCCCGTGCGGAGGCGGCCTCCGCTTCGCCCGGCACTGCCCACGCGCCCCGGCCTCCCGCCCGCATGCCATGGGGCTCAGCGCCTCTCCCCCCGGCCCCCTGAATGGCATCGTCGGGGCGCTGGCTGGGTCCGGGGCTGGCCAGGACCCCGTAGGAGCCCCGCGGCCAGAGGCCCAGAGCCGCCCCCTCCCCCCAGCATCAGGCGCTCGGCTGTGAGATGAAGAATTTATTTTTTTAGTTGATTCTGTTTGGGGCCTGGGATGCTGGCCTGTGAGGGGCCGGGAGGTGGCAGGACGACTCAGGGGGGCGCGGGGGGTGGGGTGGCACCTCAGCCTTGGCCCGCCCCTGCAGGGACGTGTGCCCTGGTGGGAGGGGCCGGGCCCCCTCCGGTCAAAGGTCAACATGCACTTTCTCCTCATACCCCAACCACCTGTCCTTTATTTTACTATGATTACTGTAATTAGCCAGTACATTTATTATCCGGCGGCTTCGGATGCCTTTAAATCAAAGGATGTTGTGCGTGTGACTGTGCGAGCGTGCCCGCGGGTGTGTGTGAGAGCCGGCGAGCGTGGAGCGTGTGCGTGAGTGGGTGTGGGGTGAGGCCGGTGAGGGCAGGAATCCAACGCAATAACCATGCCCCCTCCAGGCCACCTGAGGGGCCCCAGCGGTCTGTGGGAGCCCCGGGCTGGCGTGGGTGGGGCTCCCCATTACCTCAGCCACGGGGACATCATGACAGTGTTAGCAAGGTACCGAGCATCTCAATAAAGATTATTCTGATACCCCCGGGTCCCGAGTGCTGCGTCCCGCCAGAGGCCCGTGCTCCAGCTGGGGCTCCATCTCCCTGCACGGGGTGGAGGTGCTGGGGGGCAGGGCACCGGGAGATGCCCGCTGCCCTCCGGGGGCCCTGCCGCAGCTGAGCCAGGCCGTGTGGTCCTCGCCAGCAGCCTCCAGCTGCCTCACGTGCATCCTGGGCCCCTGGGTGAGTCCCTGCCTCAGTGGAGGGGGCCTGGCCCCTGGTAAGCCGCCTCCATCAGATGCTTGAGGGCCCAGCTGCGAGGTGCACCTGAGGCAACAGCCAGGGCTGGCGGGACTCAGGAGGGCTTCACCGAGGAGGCACCCGTGTTGCGGAGACTCAGGGTAGGGGGCTTTCGGGATGCAGGTGGGGGTGCAGCTGGTCCGAGGAGTCATGAGCCTCCCAGGCCCTGCAGGAGACCCTGGGGGCCTAAAGGTGGCTGGGGAAGCCAGGCCAGGGACCCCGGGGCTACAATCACGAGGGGGCTTGGTGGGGATTAGAGTGGGACCATCTGCTGCACCGTGTGGAGGGCCGACAGGAAGACCCTGGACAGGCCCTCTCTGGAGCAGCCCCCGCTGGGCGCCCTGCAGATGATCTCTTGTCCAGGGGTGGCATCCTAATGGGTTTCCATCATCACTCGGGGACGGTGAGGCCTGAGATCGGGGGAAGCCGCCACTTCACAGACAGCTCCCGAGAGGAGGGCCCCAGGGCCGGGCAGGAGGCAGGCGGGAGGATGTGTGGGCTGGGCCTTTCCTGGGGTTTCCACAGGGAGGGCGCATGTGAGGCAGGGTGAGCAGGCTCAGGACGGGCCAGCATGAATAATCTGGGGGGGCTCAGGCAGGGGGCTGCCCCTGGCTGCCGGGTGCCCGGCCCGGGGGATCCCGAGGGCAGCACCAGGACACACAGGAGCCCGAGGAGGATGGGGCGCCATGCTCCGGACGTCCCCTTGGCCTGTGAAGCTGTTCACCGGCTCTAGGAACTGGCCAGCTCTGGGAGGGCCGGTCTCTCCAGGGTTAGCAGGGTTCCCAGCCCTGCCCCAGAAAGCACTCACCCACACCTGCCGCTCTCCGCTGCCCAGCGTCCCAGGACACGTGGCCCCTGCCCCTCAGGTTGGTACCATCTCCACGTGTCTGGGGAAGGTACCCAAGGACCCACGCAGGCTGGGCCAGCCCCGCAGGTCAAGCAGCTCCGTGGTGATGGTGACCCCAGCACCGGGGCCAAGGTGGCCCCTCCCCAGGAGAGCGGCTGTGCCCACCTGGGAACCCAAGCCACCCTGACCTCAGGCCCCCCCACCCCTGAGGGCTGGAGGGCAGTCCCCGCCCCGCCCACGCCCACGCAGGGCCTCCCTCAGAGCCGAGGCATGCCGGCGGCCGCGGGCCTGCACTGGCCAGCGTGTGCCTACCAGTCGAGGCAGGGCTGGAGCGCCGCGGCCTCTGAGCCCTGGGCTGTGTCTCTGGCAGGACTGCTCTCCCCCAGCCCCGTCCCTGAGCCAAGGCTGGCAGGACGTTTCGGGCCCAGTCTCCTCCAAGGCCTGGGTTGGCTGGGGAACAGAGGGAGTCAGACTCCCACTGAGGCTGACCTCCTCCTGCGGGCCGGGGCTGCACCTCAGGGGAGCAGGCAGAGGGCGCCCCACGGGAGCTGTTGGTCCACGACACACGGTCCACAGCCAGTCCTGGGCAGGACAGCTGGGGGCGCCCTCCCTCTCCCAGGAGGAGGGGCGTCAGGAGAACCTCGGACCGCACCCAGGGCAGCCAGGATGGGAGCCCGGGCCTGCATCAGTCACACCAGCCCAGCGGGGGCGTCTCAGCCAGGCCGGCTCTCCAGCAGGACGACTGCCTGGAGTGAAGGGCAGCGCTCCAGCTCTGCTGTGTGGGTGGCCAAGGCGGCGGGGCGGGCAGAGCCAATCTGTGCCATGCCAACCGGACAGAGAGGCTGGGCCCAGGCTGTGGGCCAGGAGCCTGGAAGCTAAGGGTCAGCCTGGAGGCTCTCCTGACAGCTCAGCCTGCCGGCCGGGAGCCCACCCTACTCAAGGCTGGACGGGGCGTTTCAACTCAGAACGGGGGAGCCCGGGACCCGCAGGGGCGCCAGGACGGGGTGCACCCCCTTCGTGAAGCTAACCAAGCAAAGCGGATGGGGCCGGCCTCACTCTGGGCTCCCCGTCCGGCTGCGCGCCCCCATCCCATCCGCCCTGGCCCCGCCCGCACCTCCCCGGACCCCACCCGCCAGGCCGAGGGGGCGCCCAGGCACCCGCACGGGCGCGATCTGCGGTCTGGACTCTGCTCCTAGCGTTGCATTGATAGTTCTGTATCATAGCAGGCCACACGAACATCCACTCCCTTTTCCCGACAGGAAGCTGCGGCCAGAGAATTTCGGGGCGCCTCGCAACGCCTCCCCAATACGGCCGCAGGCCTGGGACTCGAATCCACGTCCTCAGACGCCGCTAAGCCCTCGGAGCCTGGCGCGCGAGGAGGGGCCGGGTGGTGCTCCTTGCGCTCGGCCTCCTGGAAAGTGAAGTCCTCGCACAGTCGCGCGCGGCCCTCTGGGAACTGTAGTTCGCAGTTGCGGATCGGGCCTGCTGCAAGCGCAGGCAGACGGCGCGCCGGACTACGGTTCCCGGCGCGAGGAGGGGCCGGGTGGTGCTCCTTGCGCTCGGCCTCCTGGAAAGTGAAGTCCTCGCACAGTCGCGCGCGGCCCTCTGGGAACTGTAGTTCTGGGCGGCGGCGTGGCCTCGGAGGGACCCTGGGCCCTTCACGGCGCCGGCGGCCTCTGCTCTTCAGGCCAAGGAGTCGGGGCTGCCATATGGAGCCCCGGAGCCCAAACTCCGAGGCCCGGCGCGCTCTCCTCACCTCGATTCTGGGAGTAGCTTTATTGAGATGTAACTTACATGCCGCAAAGTTCTCAAATGCGTCTCTGTGAAAACTGTCCCGAGAAAGAAAAGCGAGGCTCACGGAGAGCAGGAAGTCCTCGGCGTCACACTTGGGGTGTCAGGGCCGCCGCATCCGGAGATGGGTGGCCTCCAGGTGTCTTCCTCCGGGCTCTCGGAGCCCCGCGGAGAGGAGGGTGTGCAGGCCGCCGGCTCGCTGCGCCCCCGTGAAGCCGGCACTGTCTCTGGGCTGTCTCCCTGGCTGTTGCTGCCTGCCCCCTTTTTGTGTGACTGGGAGGGAGCCCCCTGACCTTGGCACCACTGGGCAGCCTTGCAGGATGGCGGTGATGCTGCGGTGTCAGGCCTGGGGCAAAACCGCCAGGAGAGGGCCCAGCATGGTGGGCAGGAAGGCCCCCACCTCCCAGTGCCTCCATGGAGGTCAGCATGGGGACCCGCACTGGGCAGAGTACAGGTTCCAGGAGGGCTGGCCAGGTGTGCTAGGCCTCCAGCTCAGGTGTGACTTGACCCTTTACCCATATCCTGACCTTTGCCACAGCTCCATAAAACAGCCTGCCAGACCCAGGGCTGTTCCAGTGGCTTCAGAAGTGGGGGTGTAAGGGTGTAGCTTCAGGCCACACTCTGCTGCCTCCCACTTAGTCGTTTTTCTCTACAGCCTGTTGTTTGTCCAGTTTGGGATCCCTGACCTGAGCAGGCAGGCCTAGTGGGCTGGTTGGGAGCTGGTTTTTCTGGAAACTCCATGTGGCGCTGGTCAGCTCTTGGCCAGTAAGGGGAAGCCGGGCTGGGCTCTGGGAGGCGTTTCTGGCTTCTTGATTTTTAGAGGTAGATGGGAGGGAACGACTGAGTGTGATCATGACAGAATACCACCGATGGGGCTAAATCAACAGTTTCCTCACAGTTGTGGGGATAGAAAATTCAAGACCAAGGTTCCTGCTGCCTTGGTTGCTGAGAGGAGCTCTTCCTGGCCCCAGACAGCTGCCTTCTCACCATGCACTCCCAGACCAGCCCTCCCGGGGCTCTTCCCAGGAAGGCTCTCATCCTATCCTGGGGCCCAGCCTCGTGACCTTCTCATCTGAGTCATCTCCCGGAGCCCCTGCCTCCTAATTTCATCCCATTGGGCTCAGGGCTTCAAAATATGAATTAGAGGGGACACAGCCCAGTCCATAGCAGTGGGACCCTGAAAGGAGATGGCAGCCCATGGTCTGGCTCCCAGCCGGCTGCCTGCTGTCCTGGGTCTGTGCTACACGGGGCACTCAGCAGGCTGTTTGCTGCGCTAACACCTCGTCCAGCAAGAGCGCATGACACGTTCCCTGGGGGTCCCCAACGCAGGCGGGGCTCTCCCTGCCTGTGAGCCGGTGCGTTCTCTGGTGAACCCGGCAAGATGGGTCCTCTTGGGGGTCAGGGGCTCCCTGGCATTTGGAGTCTGTTTCCCCGGAAGTGTGTGGGTGGAGCCAGATCACGGTTACGCCCCTTCTGCGGAGGCGCCTCCTGGTCCCCCTGCCCCAGGGACGGACGCCGATGTGCCGTCTGAGCACGGCACACCCTGTGCCCATCATGGGACGGCTGGGTGGCTGCTCGAACCACCCCGGCCCTGGAGGCCAGAGGTAGGCATCTGGGCAGGTTGGGGGGTGCTGCTGAGGCCGCGCCGTGCCAGGTGGCAGTCTGAGAGCTGCCAGCCCTGCGAACGTCCCCCTGCAGCGTGGTTGCTGACAGCCCAGCTGCCTGTTTGCTGGAGGACCGGCCTCGGGCCACCCCGCTCAGGAGGCCTCCCCAGGCCGCGCTCCCTAAGGCCAGGGCGGTAGTGACAGCTGCTGGGGTATGGAGAGAGCACCTGGATCGGGTGGGAAGGTCTGCTTTGTGCCGGCTCCCCAAGAGCTCGGCGGTGGTGGCCGGGTTGCTGGGCGGAAGCCTGGTGTGGGCTCCCTGAGCCTGGGCATGGAGCCTGGGGCCTGCTGGGCTGGGCTGCCAGGACCTGTCGTCCAGAGATCCTGTGGCCAGAAACGCCACCTGCGGGTGTGAGGAGGTGGAGGCTGGGCCCTTGCTCCCCTCCAGGCAGCCGAGAGGTCGGGTCCCGGCTGTAGAGATCTGAGGGTGTGTCACGCTAGGAGGAGGGTCCTGGAGGGGTCCCCCAGGGGCCCTGCCTGAGCTTCTGGGAAACCAGACGTTGGGAAGTGAGAGACGCCTCCCGGGCCAGGCACCCACCCTGGGGCACTCCAAGTGCTGGGTCTGGGTACTGTGATCGTGGCCCAGCTGTCTGGGGGCTCATGGCCTGTCTGCCCCCTGGGACAGAGGGTGGGTCTGGGGGGCCGACCAGACTGGGGGCCCCAGGCCCGGGGGAGGGAGACTGAGGCTCACACAAGCTTCCTGGGACAGTACGGGTGCTGCCTGGAGAAGCTTCTCTGACCCTCTGGCACCTCGTGTGAAGAGGACCCAGGGGGCTCTTCTGGGTCTGCTAGGGAACCTGAGAGGAGGGCGGGCCAAGCCAGACACCGCAGACGCAGCTTCCTGTTTCTGTTCCCATGGGGCTTTGGTCTGTGAAGCGGGAATGAGGCGGCCCTGGGGCTGGTGAGGCCGGTGAGCCGCCCTCCGCCGGGACCGGCCCCTGCAGCGTGGCTGCTGCTCCGGGTGGGGGGCACCGGGGCCTGGCCTGCTCAGAGCTCATGCTGGCCCCCCGCCCCCCACAGAGGCCCCCGGCTCTGCCTGCCACTCCTTGGACGGGGCCTCACCCGGGGCCTGTTGGTCCCTCTCGGGACCCTTCCCTCGACTTCATTGCCGGGAGCCCCAGACCAGGACGACGGTGCTCCGAGAGGGGCTGGGAACGGAGCCCGGGTGAGAGTTGGGCCCAGGGTCACAGGGTACAGGGGAGCGGAACTTGACCTGGTGTCGTGTTTATTTTATGGTCTGTATTTCCTCTTTGTTGTGAAACTGGAGCTGACGGGGCCTTGGGCACGTCCTGCTGCCTGCGTGGACCTCCCGGGCGCCCCCCGCGGTTCACGTGTGACCACGTGGACGTGAGAGCTCACCACTGGGCTGAGCCAAAATCAGATCAGAATCGCTGCTCACGTGACGGTCCCGTCACCTGTCAGATCCTCCAGTGGGCTCAGCCCGTGGGTGCCCCGCAGGACCCCAGCTCCAAGCTCAGCTGGAACTGAGGCTCTTTCAGTTTCTGGTTTGTGTCCAGAGGCACTTTGCGAGGTCTGGGTGATGACGGCTGTGGGGCAGGCACTGCTTCTGTCCTCAATGCGGGGGGAGAGAACACCACGTCCCAGCCCCTGACATCCACCCACCCCCGCACACACCCACCCCATTCCTGATACCCCCACCCCGCCCCCTGACACCCAAATGCCCCTACTGTGTCCCTGTACCCTCAGCCTGCCCCCGGACACCCCTGTCCCTGACACCCCTACCGTGTCCCTGACACCCCCACCACCCCTGACCCCCTGATTTTCTCAGGTGAGAACAGTCTTCCTGGGCTCCAGCTCCTGGCTGGCCTCTGGTAGGAACAGTGCAGAGGCTCACAGACGACCCAGGGGACTTGGTTTCTAGCTCAGCTTCTTAGAAGCAGGCTGGGTTCTCAGTGACGCCAGCACAGCCGGGCCGTCCCCGATCCCTGCTCCCCGCGCCTCCCGAGTCTCTGCTCACACCCGTGTGAGACTCACACCCGTGCCGACACTGCTGGGACGCGGGTGTCACTGCCCATGAGAGCGGGGCTGTGGCTACGCAGCCTCCCACGCCGGCCCCACACAGACCCCCGCCCACCGCTGAGTGTCATTTTTTTTTAGGGAATTTTATAAATTTTGTTTTTGTTCCGAAGTCAGATCGGAAGCACCCAGGTCTGGCCAACTCCCCCATGGGGTGTCCCCCTGCCGGGCAAGCAGAGCGGGCGCGTCCCAGCTGTGGGCGACTCCAGGCTTTCTGCTCTGGCATCCCCGCTCCACGCCCGGGGCCCAGGGCTTGCCCGCGGGTGCCCCTGGCACACTGAGCCGGTGCCCGGCCCTGGGGCCCCAGGTGAGGACGGCCCCTGTTTCCTCAGGCTTCACGCATTGCTGCCAGAGCTGCTGCCAGCCATGGAGGAGCCGGAGGAGCAGCCGCCCCGCGAGGTCAGAGGCTGGGTGGGCCCAGGGGAGGGGTGCAGAGTCCCCTGGGCTCCCGGGGTCACACCGCCTTCTGTGCCCAGAGGCACCTCACCGGTTTTCCCACCGTGTTGCTGACCAGCTGAGGGCCACGCCGGGCGCCATCGCGAGCGTGTCGGGGGCACATGGCCTGCGGTCCCCCAGGCCGGGGGCGGCACAGCCTTAGCGCCTCCTCCCTCCGCAGGCCGACACAGAGCCCGTCGTGACTTCAGGGGCCTCAGAGGCGGTGCCCAGGGTGCTCCCCGAAGACCCCCAGAACCTGTGTGCGTGCTCCCTGGGTCCCTGTGGGGTGGGGCTTGGGCGGGGTGACCTCCCGAGGTCGTGGTGAGCCGGGGCCCCAACCCAGCCTGGGGTGTTCGGGGGTGCTTGAGCAGGAGCCCCCTCCCCTCCTCGGGTTGGTGGGCTGGGGGCTTCAGAGTCGCCCTGGAGCCCATGGGCCCTGCCGCAGCCTCTCCTGGGCGCCTCGGCAGCCTGGGGCTCCCACCCAGGCCCCAGGATGCTCATCCTGGTGGGCAAGAACCAGAGGCTCCAGACTGGGAAGGACCCCGTGCAGGCGGGCGTCCCTGAGCTGGGCTCGCTGTTCCGCAGCCGACGTGGATGCGTTCAACCTGCTGCTGGAGATGAAGCTGAAGAGGCGGCGAGAGCGGCCCGACCTGCCGCGCACTGTGACTGAGCTGGTGGCCGAGGACGGCAGCCGCGTGTACGTGGTGGGCACGGCCCACTTCAGCGACGACAGCAAGCGGGACGTGGTGAAGGTGAGGCCGCCGCTTCCCGGCTTCGCGGCTTCACGTGCTGAACGCAGCGGCCCAGCCGCGGGGGCGGCCGCCGCCGGTCCGGCGCGTCCGGGGCGGGTCCGGGGCGGGGCTCGGGGCCGGGCGGGCCCTGAGCTGGTGTGTCCGCGGCAGACCATCCGAGAGGTGCAGCCCGACGTCGTGGTGGTGGAGCTCTGCCAGTACCGTGTGTCCATGCTGAAGATGGACGAGCGCACGCTGCTGCGCGAGGCCAAGGAGATCAGCCTGGAGAAGCTGCAGCAGGCCGTCAGGCAGGTGCGGCCGTCGGGCGGGCCGGGCCCGGGGCGCTGCCCGAGGGGCTGGAGAAGAGCCGGCTGGCGCCCCAGCCCCGAAGCGGGAGCGGCTCTGGCCCTGGGGACCCCGGGGGTGCCGGCAGGTCACAGGGCTGGGGAGGGGGCTTCAGTGTGTCCTGGGGCCGCAGGCCGAGACCCCCACTGCGTGTCCCTCCCCGGGGACATAGGACCCAAGGGAGATGTGGACAGGGGAGTCGGGTCTGGGCTGGAGGGCTGAGGTCAGGGGACTCCGTGGGGCCACGGGCAGGCCGCCGACCCAAGCCTGCAGGCGTGTGGTGGACACGCCTACGGGCGGGCGGCCTGCGGAAGCCCCGCCCCGCCCCCTTGCGGCTGACACGCCCTCCACCCCCCTCAACGCAGAACGGCGTGGCGTCCGGGCTGATGCAGATGCTCCTGCTGAAGGTGTCCGCCCACATCACCGAGCAGCTGGGCGTGGCCCCCGGCGGCGAGTTCAGGGAGGCCTTCAAGGAGGTGGGCCTAGGCCCGACTGGGGGCGGGGGCTCGGGAGGGGCCTGGGGTCCCCCACCAACACCCCAACACCTCACCTCCACCCAGGCCAGCAGGGTGCCGTTCTGCAAGTTCCACCTGGGCGACCGCCCCATCCCTGTTACCTTCAAGCGGGCCATCGCCGCCCTCTCCTTCTGGCAGAAGGTCAAGCTGGCCTGGGGCCTGTGCTTCCTGTCGGACCCCATCAGGTAGGTCCGCTCAGCCTCCTGACTGGGGATTCGGCCAGCTGCCTCATGTGACCCACAGTGACCGCCCCGCCGTGAGGCCTGCTCCCCGAGTTCCCGGGCTGGGTCTCCTGCCGCCCCTCCCCTCCTTCCATGGGGTCCAGATGCGGGCGGGGAGGGGGAGGGGTCCCTGCCCTGGGCCCACCGCCTCAGCGCCGGCCGCCTCCCCTCAGCAAGGACGACGTGGAGCGCTGCAAGCAGAAGGACCTGCTGGAGCAGATGATGGCGGAAATGGTGGGTGAGTTCCCCGACCTGCACCGCACCATCGTGTCCGAGCGCGACGTTTACCTGACCTACATGCTGCGCCAGGCTGCGCGCCGCCTGGAGCTGCCTCGCGCCTCCGACGGTGAGCACAGCGCCCACGGGCACAGGGCCCCGCGGGGAATGGGGGTGCTCGGGTGCTCATGCGTCTCCCACCCCAGCCGAGCCCAGGAAGTGCGTTCCCTCCGTGGTGGTGGGCGTCGTGGGCATGGGCCACGTACCCGGCATTGAGAAGAACTGGACCACCGACCTCAACATCCAGGAGATCATGACGTGAGTGCTGTGCCCCGCACGCCCCCGCCCCACCGCCACGGAGTCGGGCTGGGGGCTGGGACCGCCCCCTCAGCCAGCCCAGCCCGCCCTCCCTCCCCAGCGTGCCCCCGCCGTCCGCCTCTGGCAGAGTGTCCCGCCTGGCCGTGAAGGCCGCCGCCCTGGGCCTCCTTGGCTACGGCGTCTACTGGACGGGGCGCCGTGCCGCCAGCCTGCTCCTGGCCCTGCCCGCCGCCCGGCACTGCCTGCAGAGGCTCTCCCACGCCTGGCCGCACAAGTAGCAGGACGGACGGAGCCAGCGCACCCGGGCAGGGGTCGCCCTGCCCGCCCCCAGCCCGCCCAAATAAAAGAGTTGTTCACTGTCTGAGCTCGGGCTTCCCCGCAGCCCCTCCGCACACCCGCTGTGGGCTGTTAGGAGGCTCACCGGCCGGGACGAGCCGCTGGGCAGGGGCAGGGGCTCGGGAGGCCAGCCAGCCCCTTCCTCACTGTGCCTTCTCTCCGAGGCGGGCTTCGGGGGTGTCTCGCAGGGGGTCGGGGCCACTCCCTGGGGCCAGGCTGCGGCCATGCAGCCTTGGGGTGTCCCCTGGGGGCGACTCAGCCAGGCTCAGGCCCCCAGGAAGCGCCAGCAGCAGCTCTGCCTGCAGAGATTCTGTGTTTTGGGCTTTTAAAAACGTCTGAAACTGTTTTACTCAGGTAATTTTAACTTAAATTGAAGCAAACGTCAGGAAATACTAGCCTTAAATCTGGTTGGGACCGAGAGCGTCTTTTTCTTGAGTCTCAGTCCTGGGAAGATGAGCTTGTGGGGCACATCCGCTCCGCTGCGGGCAGCCAGGCCGGCCCGCGCCTGCCTCCAGCTGCGGGGGCCCAGGGCCCCACCCTCCCGGGTGGCTGACCCTGCTGCCTGGGCCCGCGGTCGCCCTTGCCCTCTGGACAGACGGTGGCTGCCAGCAGGGCATCCATCCACCTTGCACGGGCCCCAGCCTGGGTGCAGTCGGGCCCCACACCGCACTGCCCTGTCGCCACCTGTCCGCGTGTCTCCTGGTCTCCTGTCAGCGGCGTAGTGTCTGGGGCCCACGGCCTCGTCTGATTGTGTGTGTTGACTCAGTGTCCAGATGAGGTGAAATCCACACCACGGGCTGGACCAGGTCATTGTCATTCACATGCTTGTATACCCATCCCTTAGAAACTGAAATAAAATCTAATTTTGGAAGCCATCTTGTGAAATATGTGGGAAGGGGGCTCAAGTGACTGGCGGGTTGGGGAGGCGCCAGCGTGCTGGGGGCTCCCCCCGCCCCCGCAGGACTCTGCCCTCACCCTGCAGTGCCGCCCAGCCCAGCCCAGCCCATCTGGGAGGAGGCAGGCCGAGACCCGCAGCTCAGATCGGTCCAGAAAGCCCAGAGCGGAGAGGGGCCTTCCCCCCAGAACACACGCTCACCCACCCCATGCGGGCCTCCTCTGTGCTGCTCTGCGTCCAAGGCCAGTGAGAGTGGTCGGCGGGCACAGTGAGCTGGGGGCCCCAGAGCTCTTGGGCCTCCCCCTGCCAGGGCTCTTCTCTCCACTGGTGCAGGCAGTGGGCTCGGACCCCCAAGGCCTGGCCAGGTGTGGGTGGGGGGCAGGAGGGGCCGAGTGGATGCTGACCCTTCACCCCACAAGTCTGCACCCTGTAGGCCTCTCACTGCCCATGAGGACCCTGCAGGGTCCCTGCCCTGAGCAGCCCAGGGAGGGGCAGACAGGGACCAGGCTCCTCCAGCCCCAAGTTGGGGGGGGGGGGGGGGCGGGAAAGCCAAGGCAGGTGGGTGAGGGCCACATGGGACCCACCGGGTGACCACGGCAGTGGGGGGAATCCAGGGCGGGGGCAGCCTCTTCCGGAGGAGGCAGCCTGACAGTGAAGGGACAGTGATCAGGTCGTGAGTCACCTGCTGGGTCACCTGCAGGCCCTTCTGGGGCCCTGGTCCCCGGAGTGCTCTGAGCCATCCTGGCCGCATCTCTCGGGGAGGGGCCACTCTCAGATCCTGGTGGGGAATCCCGGACCCAGTGGCGTGTGTACCAGCCCGCTGGGGAGCCCGCACCCCCTTCCAGGATGCGGCCGGCAGCTCGGGGGGTGTGGACTCGTGTCAACTTTGGTAAAAACAAGAGACGTCACCGTCGGAGGTTGGGAGGGAAGGCGGGGGCCAGGCACACCTGCCCAGAGACCACCCTCAGGTGCTAGCTCCTGGGATGCAAAGGCTCTGAGCCTTAGCTCCAGGCAGGAAAGGCAAGGAGGAGATGAACCACAATGCCAGATACAAGTTAGGTATAAAATAACTGCCAAGCCTGAAGCCTGAAGAGTTATTTGAAGCTTCACCCTGGGAATTTTAATGTATTCCAATGCAAGTTTGTATTACATTGACAAGCAGAAAAGCAACAAGGTTTCATTTTTCAAATATATGACAAGTACTTGGAGCAGAGTGGACTGACCAGACCACCAGAGAGGGGCCTGTGGGCCCACCCAGGCGCTCAGCATAGGAGATGCTGGTGTCCCTGCCCCCACCCAGCTCCTCTGCGAGGGGGGCACGGCCAGTGGAGACTGGGGCCGGGGTGCCGCTGGACTGAGAGGTGCTGGCAGAACTAGAGACTGGGTCCCAGGACCTCGTCAGAGAACACAGGGCAGGGGTGGCCAGTGCGGCAGGCCTGAGCCTGGGGTGCCCCCACGGGTGACCCCTGAGCCTGGGGCCCCCCCCATGGGTGACCCCTGGCCGGGGCTGGAGCACACTTGGGGCCTGGCTCCCCGCCCGGCCTGCGCACCACGCTGCCGGCAGACCTGCCGGACACGGACAGCCACATGCTGCGGGCCCACTGGGACAATGACCGCGTGGACCTCCTGGACCAGTTTTACTGGCCGCCCCTCGGCCTGTCCTCGGCCCAGGTGAGTGCCTAGGGGGCTGGGGGCTCTGCTGACAACCCCCTGTCCACAAGCGCCCTGTTTTGCTGACACGTTTTCCAGGTTGGGGGCGGGGGAGAAGGCTGAGGACCCAGAGACCCAACTTCTCGGCCTACCGCTGCCAGCCTGTGCGCTCTGGGAAAGAATGGTGCTCCCTGGCGGGGGGCGCTGGGGGCCCAGGGTCCATGATGGGGGTGCAGTCAGGGCCACACAGGGGCACAGACGACAGGGAGCTGTGCACACACACCGGGGCCCACAGGCCTAGGCGCACGGCCAGGAGGGCGCAGCCTCACTCAGCGCGCCTGCCTGTCGGCCGAGTTTCCAGAGAGGAGCCAGGAAGGGGCTGGCTCAGCCCCACACAGCAGGGCTGCGTGGACCCACCTGCACAGGACGGACTCGGAAGGTCTAGAGGCCGGACGGCCAAACGGGGAGGCAGAGTCAAGGCTGCAGGGCAGGGAGGGCCACTGCCGCTCCTGGGTTGACCTGCTGGGACCTCTGGAACCAACCAGATATTCCCTCTGATGTGCATGGCCAGTAGGCACCCGCAGGCTGTCAAAACCCAGTCCCGCCAAGTTCCAGAGTGCAGGCAGGGCAGGGGCCGAGGGTGGGGGGCGCTGGTCAGGAAGAGGGGAAGCTCAGGCCGGTCTCTCAGGCAGTTAGGAAGGAGGCTGGGCACAGAGGACTCTACCCGCAGGTGAGGAGACCCCAGGTGGGCCCAGGGGAAAGGGAAGCCGTCTGGCTGCAGGAGGCGGCTCTGGGTGCTGAGCAGCACCAGACCCTCACCGTGTTATCTCCATCGTTCCTGGGAGCGCCACTCCCACCCCAGGCAGATGGTAGCATCCTTGCTCCTCTGGGGAGGAGCTGGAGTCGGGGCATCCCCGAGGGGGCGGAGCCAGCAGTGCAGAGCGGGGGGCCCAGGAGGCAGTTCTGGAGAGCCCCCCATGTCAGAGGTGGATCGGGGCTGCTGCACAGAGCGGCCCGGACAGGAGGGCTCTGGGGAAGTTTGTCCAGGTCTCAGGTTTTGCTCCAGAGAAGGCAATGGCAACCCACTCCAGTACTCTTGCCTGGAAAATCCCATGGGCAGAAGAGCCTGGTGGGCTGCAGTCCATGGGGTCAGGAAGAGTCGGATAGACTGAGCGACTTCACTTTCACTTCTCACTTTCATGTATTGGAGAAGGAAATGGCAACCCACTCCAGTGTTCTTGCCTGGAGAATTCCAAGGATGGCGGAGCCTGGTGGGCTGCCATCTATGGGGGCGTACAGGAGTCGGACATGACTGAAGCGACTTAGCAGCAGCAGCAGCAGCAGCAGCAGCAGCAGGTTTTGCTCTGGGCCCGGGTGGGCGGGGGCTTGGGAACCCCTCCGAGGACCACCCTCTCCAGGCAGGCATCAGCGGGTCACCTGGGGGCCCCACACGACTCTTCTGAACGGGACCCCGGAGTCACTCTGCACACTGACCCCACCTCCTCACCTAGGGAGGCCCTTCGAGGCCAGGCTTGGCCCTCCCCACCCCGCGCCCGCTCCAGCCTCCTGGGCGTCCACGGGGATTTTCTGGGGGAACTGCGGCCCGGATCAGCACAGCTGCCGCCGTCCCAGCGCGTGGTGAGGAGAAAGACACAGGAGAAACAGGAGAGTAAGAGCCTGCTTACTTCAGAGAGAAGCGCAAAGAAAAGCACGGGCTGACCGGAGGGAGGCCGGACAGGCAAGCGGAGGGGCGGCGGGGGGCCGGCTCCCGGGGCGCCGGCTCCCAGCCGGGGGAGGGCAGCGGGCGGAGGGGCAGCGGGGCGCCGGCTCCGCGCGTGGTGAGGAGAAAGACACAGGAGAAACAGGAGAGTAAGAGCCTGCTTACTTCAGAGAGAAGCGCAAAGAAAAGCACGGGCTGACCGGAGGGAGGCCGGACAGGCAAGCGGAGGGGCGGAGGGCGGAGGGGCGGCGGGGCGCCGGCTCCCAGCCGGGGGAGGGCAGCGGGCGGAGGGGCAGCGGGGCGCCGGCTCCCAGCCGGGGGAGGGCAGCGGGAGGGGAGGGGCGGCGTCCGGCCCGCCGGAGGAGCAAGCGGCCGCACCCCCGGCTTCGGCTTCACCCCGGGGCCTTCCTGGCCCGAAACTGCCCCCTGACTTCCGGCCAGATCTTGACCAGCGCCGCCGTCTTCCCCCCCTGTCTTGTGCGCGCTGGGCAAAGGACAGTCAAGGGCCAGACCCCAACAAAGCTGGTCCTGCTTCACGCGGAACTGCGGGGCACTCCGAGGGTCCCCTGGGGCCGTCACTCGGCACGGTCACCGGACCGGAGCTCTCAATCCGGACGGGCCGGAGCCCCCGAGGCGGGCCTCCAGGACCTGCCGCTGTGGCGCGGGGCAGTCCCCGCCGCGCTCTCCCCCAGGGTCGGGCCGGGACCTCGCGGTCCCCCAGGCAGGACCTGGAGAGGAGGCGGACAGACAGCGAGACCAATCAGAGCCAGACTTCCACGGGCGTCCTGCTCAACTAGGCGTGTCCGACTCTGTGCAACCCCACGGACTGCAACGTCCCAGTCAGTCAGGCGCGGCCCGGGAGGTGAGCCCGGGGCGGGACTTCCTGTCGGGGCGGCGGGACTTCCGGGGCAGCGGGACTTCCTGTCGGGCGCCGCTGCGGCGCCTCAGATGGCCGCGCTCCGCGCAGCGCTCGCGGCCTCTCCGCGAGGCGCGCGAGGCCGAGGCCGCGCTCTTCTTCAGCGGCAACGCGCTGCTGCCGGGCGCCGAGCCCGCCGCTCACTGCTACTGCGGCCACCAGTTCGGCCAGTTCGCGGGGCAGCTGGGCGACGGCGCCGCCATGTACCTGGGCGAGGTGTGCACCGAGGCCGGCGAGCGCTGGGAGCTGCAGCTCAAGGGCGCGGGGCCCACGCCCTTCTCCAGGTGTGTTTGGGGGTGCACCCGCGGGGTGGTCGGGGGTGAGGCGTGTGACCCGGGACCGTAGAGCGAGCTGGGCAGCCGCCCCCGAGCCGAGGCTCGGACGAGAGGCCGGGAGCTGTGCGCCCTTTCGGGTCGGGCTGAGCGTCTGATCCCGCCGCGCTGGCGGCTGCCCGTGCTCTGTTCTGATAAACGACCCACGGACTTCGGAGCCAGTCCTGCGCGTGACACGCTCTTGTTTACCGCTTGCCCCGCGGGGCTGCCAGCGCTGCGGAGCTCAAGGCTTCGTCTGAATGCTGACCGGGCCGTCGGCTTGCCTCCCACACACTTAGCACCGCGGATGCCTACTTGCTACTTGGGGCCAGCCCTGCTCTGCGGGCGCAGTGAGGTGGGCGCTGTCCGTGCTCCTCCAGGGGCTCATGCTGCCAGCCTGGGTCTAGACCTTGACAGCCCTAGCTGGCAGGGTGCCCAGCTGTCCCGCCTCAGCTGTATGCCCGCGGCAGACAGGCTGTTCTGCTCTTTAACACGAAAAAGTTCATATCCATCGCCCATGTTGTTAAGGGCTTGTTGAATGGCCAGAAGAATTACACCTAACTTGGAGTTTTATATTCAGACATTCTGAAGGTGTGCTGCTGTCTGGCCCCTCCCACAGCTCTTGCCTCCCCCCTGTCAGGGACTGAACCTGCCCCCCGCCCCCCCATCTGTAGCAGATCCACCTCAGGTTCTTCCTCATACCCCAGTCTTCAAACCTTTCTGCGTCTGCGACATCCTGAGTTCAGCCTGGCACCCCCACCATGGTCCTGGAACAACCTGCTCAGAGTTGTTTGCACCTGCAGCTGGTGGAAGCATCTCTGCTCTTGCGATCACGTGTGAATGTCTCACTCTGGGGCTTGCACATTGTATGAGCAGCTTTCAACTTCATGTGTTCATTTTGACCATTTGTTTTTGTTTAAAAAAAATTTTTTTTGAGAGTGACATGCTGCTGGAAGTTGCTTTTAATATTTGAAGACTTGAGCTGTAAGTCAGTGTTTCCAGACCTGAAGTCCTTTAAAAGAAAGGGGCTGTCTGACTGTTAGCAGACCCCAACGCTTCCTGGGGTCCCCAGCTTCAACAGCACTTGAGGCTAGCATCTGAAGTGGTGTGAGTGGGTTAGGCCAGCAGCTGCTGGAATCCCCGGGTGTGAGTTGGAGGTGAAGGGACAGGCGGCTTCTTGCCTTTGCCTCCATGGGGGTTGGGGTTTCAGGACGGCAGGTGCAGGAGAGCTTGGCGTGTGTCCTTGGCGCCCTGTGGGGGCAGGGTTAGGGAAGGCCCTGTACCCTTGCTGTGTGGTCGTTAAACGGTTCTGGTTTCTGCTTTGGGCGCCTCGCCCTGGGCAAGGAGGTAGCCTGCCTGTTTTCTGGATCCTTTTTTACCAGATCCACAATTAGCTTAAGCAGTGCTGGCTTCCTGCTGAATAGGCCAGGGTGGGGGTGGAGTGACATTTGAGGACAGATTACAGACCACAAGGGGGTGAGTGGAATGCAGCTGTGTATTGAGTCTCACCAGCCAGAGGCAGGTGTGGTCAGCCTGCAGACCTGGGGTGACCATCAGGCCTGGTTTCTAGAGGTGTCAGTCACACCTGGAATAAACTCCTCCCAGGTGAGGGTGAGGCAGGAGGCCAAGATGGTCTCCACGACGTGTGGAGGCCCATGGAGGTCTCTGCTGACCTCTGGTCCCACTCTAGGCGTATGCCCTAGCACCTCAAACTCATACTGGCCTCTTCCCTGCAGAGGATGTGGGGAGAGGTGCATCCCAGGCAGCTTCATGCAGCATCTGTGTCCTTTGGCAGGTGAGACGGAGTGAGCCCGGAGTTTTTTTTTATTCCTAGAGAATTTTCTAAGTTGTCTCAAGTGCCTTCCTGCCGGGGGAGTGCTCGGACGCTTCCGTGCCCTGGGCCAAGCCAGGGCACCAGACCCGACCCTGAAGGGCAGAGATCCAAACTCACTCTGTTGTGGTTGCTTGATGGGTGGGGGCTCTTGGAGGTCGAGGTGTCCAGCCCCCTCACCTTACAAGGAGGGGCCTCAGGACATGGCTCATGCAGGCTAGCTGTTCTCATGCACTGCTGTGACTTTCCTTCTTTAATTTGGAAAAACAAGGAGTAAGAAACTTTGGATATCGTCACTCTGTTCTAATGGGTAAAAAACTGAAAAATCAACAAGTCTTCTTAGATCTGCAAGAAAAGCGAGGTGAGAGGGCAAATCACTGCCCACACCCCACCCCTGCCCCGACTGGAGAGACAAGCAAAGACAGAGAATTGCGCATCACCAGAGCAGGAGTCTCCAGGGAGTCTTGCACTGCGAACGATGATTTACTGGAGGCTCAGTGTGGACAAGCCAGTTAAAACCCCAAGGGCCCCAGTCATAAGGGGCCCCTGCACCTCGGCGAGTTCTACCTCCTGGAGCTCTGGAGGCCAGAGTGAGCCTGGTGGCCCTCACAGTGAGCACTGGTGGAGAACCCCTTTGTGCTTCTGGCAGGAGCAGGGAAATGAAGCCATTTCAAGTTCGCAGGAGGACCGTGTTCTTAGCAAGCCTGCCCTCGGGGAGCTAATTAACCCGAGGCTGACCTGCTGGGGTCTTCTCAGAGCCTAAGCGGGGAAGGGGAAGTGCCCAGCTCCAGCCTCTGGCGGAGAGCAGACTGAAAAGCCCATGTGAATGTTCTCAGTCCAGAGACCCAGGTTCACTGACAGGCTGAGGCCTCCACCCAGTACCTGAAACCCACCACCACATCACAGCGGCCTGTTTATAGCTGTTCTTTTTGCCCCAAACATCATGCCTGGCTATCAAGAAAAAATTACAAAACATACTAAAATGCAGGAAACACAGTTGCAAGCGACAGGGCCAGCATCAGAATTAGCCTCAGACATGGCAGAGGTGTTGGAACTGTCAGACCAAAGACTTGACATAACTGTGATTAATATGTCAAAGGCGCTAATGGATAAAATAGGCAGCATGCAGGAACAGATAAGCAATGTGAGCAGAGAGATGGAAATTCTGAGTAACACCAGAAGGAAATGCTAGAGATTTCTAGTAAAAACACTAGCAAAAATGAAGGATGCCTATGATAGACATATTACTAGACTGGACACAGATGAGAAAAAATCTCTGAGCTTGATCTCAGGAGAAACCTACAAAGATGCAAAGCAAAAAGAAAAAAACGGAAAAAGCCCAAATGCTATTCCAAGAACTGCAGGACAGCTGCTAAAGAAGTAGCATGTCATAGGAATACCAGGAGAGAAAGAGAAAGAGGGACAAAAGAAATATTTAATGTAGGGACTGAGGGTTTCTCCAAATTAATACCAGATGCCAAACAGATACAAGAAGCTCAGAGTACACCAAGCAAGATAAATGTCTACCTGCCCCCCCACCAAAAAAAAAAAAAAAAACTACACCTAGGCTTATAATTTTCAAACTACAGACAAGCAAAAACAAAGGGAAAAAGTGAAAAAAGCTAGAGGAAGGAAACACTTCACCTACAGCAGAGCAGAGATTAGAATGACAGCTGAGTTTTCAAAAGCCAGGCAAGCAGAGTAAAGTGGAGTAAGGGAAAAAACTCACCCATCTAGGATTATGTGCCTTGTGAAACTGTCCTCCAGCAGTGGAGGAGACACAGACTGCCTCAAAAAGTGAGGGGAATTGTCACCATTAGATCTGTTTTGCAAAAAATGTTGAAGATGTTCTTTGCAGAGAATGGAAATGATACAGGTCAGGAACTTGAATCAACACAATCGAAGAGCACAGGAGAGGGAAGTGAAGGCAGAGTGAAACCTCTGCTTCTCATCGTGACTGATACAACAGGTAACAGTTTAAAATAGTGGAAACAATGCATTTGATTATGTGTAAGTGAAATGAATGACACCAAATGGAATAAGGGATGGGAGGAAGAGGTTGGGATTATTTTGTTACTATGAAGTACTCATACTACCCATGGAGTAGTATATGGTACTTAAAAGTAGACTCGGATTAGTTGTGAATGTGTATTACAAACTCCAGGGCAACCATTTTTTAGAGTAAAAAAACAAACGAAATGCACAAAAAAAAGTATTATTGATATGCCAGGAGAGAACCAGTGAAAAAGGAGAAAACAGAATCACAAAACGCTCAATCAAAACCACAAAAGATGGGGACGGTGGGGAAAGACTGAAAGGAAAGAAAACACTTTGGTCTAAATGCACTAATTAAAACACAAGATACTGTTAATTTTTTAAAAAAAAAGGTCCTAAAGGAAACAAGGAGGAAAGAAAGAAGAAAAAAAACAGGTCCTATATGTTGTCCATAAGAAATCCACTTTAAATATGAAGACATGTAGATTAAAAGTAAAGGGATACTAGTGCACCATGCTAACACCAATCCAAAAACGAGCAGGAGTAGTCATACTAATTCCAGAAAGAGTGGACTCTGGAGTAAGGAAAGTTCCCAGGGATAAAGAGGGGTGTGGCAAAATGAAGGGGCCCACAAGGCAGAGCAGTCCTTAAGGTGAGTGACTGAGTGAGTGAAACTCGCTTAGTCGTGTCCAACTTCTCGCGACCCCATGGACAATACAGTCCATGGAATTCTCCAGCCAGAATACTGGAGTGGGTAGACTTTCCCTTCTCCAGGGGATCTTTTGAACCCAGGTCTCCCGCATTGCAGGCAGATTCTTTTACCAGCTGAGTCACAAGGGAAACCCAAGAATACTAGAGTGGGTACTCTATCCCTTCTCCAGCGGATCTCCCTGACCCAGGGATCAAACCAGGGTCTCCGGCATTGCAGGCGGACTCTTTACCAGCTGAGCTGCCAGGGAGGCCCATCCTTAAGGTATATGTGTCAGGCAGCAGCAGAGTGCCATTTGGCAGAAACTGACAACTTCAGAGAGGCACAGAGGACCCACTGTCTTCAGTCGAGACTTCAACACCCCTCTGTCAGAAATGGACAGAGCCAACAGGCAGAAAATCGATCAGCACGCTTTTGAGCTCAATTAACACCATCGAT